CCCTGCACAACCAAACCACTTCTCTTGTCCTATCGTATAGTGCGTCTTCAAGTGGACCGTTGGAGTAAACATTGCCCAGAGTGCGTGTGTCGGACAATGCTTTTTGATGCAAAGAAAAGTTTGAAATTAGGAGAAGAATAAGTGTGCTGACAGTTTGTTTGTCGCATAGAAAAACATTTGGTGGAGATGAAGGCTATACGATGCTTATGTGTTTGTGTCGCAGTGGGTGGGGAGGGTGGACATGGCCGACCATAGTATTAACCTTTTTGTCGTTCTACCTTTAAAAAAACCCATTTTTGACTCTAAAAGAAAATCCAGGATGTAAAAAACAGCTCAGTAGGAAAGAGGTATGGTATCAAGTTTTCCATCTTACCTGGGCGTGCCACCTCTCTTGAAATACTGCAGAGAGCACATGTGAAATTTGGGGATTTTTTTTATCTGACAATTTCTGCTGGATACTCGTTCCTTTTACCTGTGCCAATATTTTGCAGCTGCCCTGAGTTCTCCGGTTTTATACTGCTGATGCTGTCAGGCGCAGCTTTCAAATGCTGTGCTTACTGCTGCGTTAGCCTTAGGGATGGCCTTTCACACAATAAAACAGCTCTGGTTTGGATGTCGACCTACTTCCATTTTCTTGACAATGGTGGCATTCCTCCCAGCTGCCATGTGAGACATTGTTTTAAAACATCGATTTCTTGCCACCGCTCGACATCACATCGTGAACGATTAATTGTGTTCAACAACAATCTTTCCATTTCGTTCTGTCGATCTTTCTCGCCCCTCCCCCTCCCCTTTCTCTCTCTCTCTCTCTCTCTCTCTCTCTCTCTTTCTTTTTTTCTTTCTCTCTCTCTTTCTTTCTTTCTTTCTTACACTCACTATATCTTTCTCTCGCCCTCACTCTCTCTTTCGCTCTCTGTCTCTATATGTCTATCTATCTATCTCTCTGTTGTAGCTGTCTCTCCCTCCACCCCCGCCCCATCTCTCTCAATGTATGGCCAGGAAGTGAAGAAAGTACGCTATCGGGGATCATTTTATTTTTTGCAGGGAAGAGGCGGAAGGGAAAAGAAGTTAATACAACCCATAAATTACTTGTGTGTGTGTGCCCGAACTAAAAGTGAAACTCTTTCCTCTCCGAAAGAAAAGCCTTCGTACTCATCGTCAATCGGTCAACGCGACCACAACACGCTCGCACCCTTGTTCTCCCCCTTTACACACACGCACGCACGCGCGTGCGCACACACACAAACACACACACACACATCACACGCACGTACAGACACACACATGCGCCCACACTTACTCACACACACACACACACACACACACACACACACACACTCTCTCTCTCTCTCTCTCTCTCTCTCTCTCTCTCTCTCTCTCTCTCTCTCAACGCGCGCGCGCAAGTTAACGGCAAACCGAGGTTTGAGCATCCTGGGAATACATCTGGAAACCACTTCATAGATAGGTGTTTTTGTAATCGTGTAATTGTTACTTTTTATGATTAATTTCTTATTTGGCTTCCTGACTCCGGCAAAATTATACAAGTAGGGCAGCCTTTTTGCCAGCTCTTCTGTTTAGGCCGTACTTCGGTAAACTTAACCTTGCCGTCCATTCGGAACTTGCTTGACCTAGAACGCACAGTCAGGGTTGAAATCATTTTAAGAATGTGGGGTCGAAATTCACCTTTTGCCTTTACCATTCCGACTTGCTCCAGCAGTGACCGGAACGTGTAAGGCTACAGGAGTCTGGAACCGCACACGCCTGCAACGCCCGTCTAGCTAGCACTCAGCCTTGCGCAGTGGGTGTGAGCCACGAGCGAAGGAGTGGCTGGGTGGGTGATGGTTGTTGCTTAGCATTTTGAGCGGTTTTTAGAGCTTGATTACACGGGTCTATGAGATTCAGTAGCTGTAGTTAAATCATCACTTCCATAAACCTTAACACTTCTTAACGTGTGCTCACTTTTTGATTACTCTCTGTATACCCAGCACATCGCTCCCGCGCCCTCGTTTTCCCTGTTTAATTTTATTCGTAGCCTATCCGCTCTCCCCCCTCCTCCACCCTAAAGCCTATGCTCAAAGTTTACTTCCAATACTGTTCCCTACCCTTGTCAGCCTAGTAGCTGTTACTGCCCTCCCCTCCGCCGCCACGCTACGCATGCACGGCGCTCGTTCGTGATCCGGAGAGACCAGACCTGAGCGAGTCGGCATCAGGCGCGGGAGCCGATCTCCCACGTTACTCACACAACGCACGGTCTTACTTACTGGCTCACACACGGCACTAGGAGCTAGGGACGCTCACGATGAATGGATCTACCTCTTCGACTTGGTATGGACAACGATGATCGTGCGTTGGTATGATTTTGTTTGACGTTGACAATCGGATGCATACGTTAATTACCCGTACTAGGGCGTAGAGATACTCTCAGAATAGTGAGCATAGTAGCGTAGTATTCGAAAAGTAGTATCCAGGGAACTGGCTGGTGCTTACAAGACTTAATAGCGAAAACGGCGTGTGTTTCAAGCACCCCGAAGTAAGTCCTACACATCGCTGGGGAAGTGTGAGTGTACAGTGCTGCCGCTTGGACTATACTGCTATAACCAAGCCACGACCATTCGGAGTCCCCCTGAGTGAGCTCGAGTTTCTGCAACAAGTGGGGAACGCAATTGACTTCAAGTGTTACAGGTGTGTTACGCGTGTGTTACGCGTGCGTCGAACACAGGGATTATTGTTGAGTGGGCCCAAGTGGACACAAGGCATAAGTAGACGTCAACTGACTGTGGACACGGGCGGTTGTATCACTCTCATTTGTTTTCCTACCACTCAGGCCAGAGTGGGAATTGTGAAAGAGAGCGATTCTGGATACTTGATGGATTCATTGCAGCTGAGCTGTAATTAGTGCTGCTTTCTGTTCTGTGTTGATATTTTCTATCTCCATCGAGGAATAGTCGGTGGCAAGAACTGTTGTGCATTCATCACCTATCCGGATATTATTCATTTCGAGACGTTCTTCGAATTTAAAATAGTGTTTAGTTATCATAAATAATTCGTAATGTCCGACTTGTATGGGGTTTTTTGTTTTTAAAAAAATTAAATCCATTGTGCTGTCTGCACTTCTAGGTTCATGAGACGATATTATCTTCTCGCTCATCTTTCTCAAGTTGTAGTGATAACTAATAATCTGTTGAAAGAGAGAAATTGTGGTGCCAGTAAAGTTATTGCTTCGACAGTTGTTTGTTCCCCTCTATTTGAAATGAGCCTTCCTCTGTGAATAGAATAGTCATCGGTCATGGCCACTAACTCGACATAATATGGATTGTTGCTCATTTTTGTGGAGACAACATTTGAAAAAAATTATGTACAACTCATTGTTTCTACATATATTCTCTAATATAATACAATGTGTAATATGTATAGGCCCTACACTTTTAAAGCCACATATTAAAAGTCGGTTCTATGATATTTTTCCTAAAATTTAAGCATCGTCCTTTCGCCCCCCAATGCTTGGAAATATGACAATGAAACTGAGTTTAAAATTTCTCCACCACTCTCTGTGTCCTTCGCTTCTAGATGACCAGGCTCTGTGCTGTGTTATACGCTGCCGCGTCTGTCTGTCTTGTGAAGCACTAAGTCTTTCTTGGCACGATTCTGCGTGATATTTACTTCTCTCGTTCACCATGTCGCTCTCCCTCCGCACTCTGCCTTCACTGTTGTGTTTTTCACCGATACAATAATCTCGGCACTCGTTTCACCACTGTAGCTTTCACTTATTATATTATTATTATTACTCTGACGTCAAGTGTTCATTATATTTTTCACAACGTGCTATTTTTATCAATATCACTGGCTGTTGTTTGTAGTAAGTTTCTTCGTCTCGTGAAGTTTTTGAAGTATTGGCCACGTATTTCTTCACCCTTCAGTTCCTCCTGTCTCCAGTCAGAGCTTTGGTTTTGTCGTGGGAATAGCAATAGTGCGGCTGCTCATGTCTCTTGCTTTGTAGATTTTCCTCGTTTATTATGCAGCGTCTGTCAGTGCTCTACATGAATGCATTTGAACTTAAGTGTTAAGTTTTGACTAATCATTTGAAGGATACTTATATGAGAACTGTATGAAAGTCCAAATATTTATATTCTAAAATAATCTAAATGTTAAGATTTGATTTATATTGTGCTTTTCGTTTCGTTTGATTGTATTCTTACACTTTCAGAATAAAGAAGCGAGTAAAAGTTGAATAGTGCTGGGTACAGTAGAATCTTCTTAATAAAGAATCAGTTATGACCTTATTGGATTGATAGAGTGTAAAGCATAGGTAATGTCAAACTGATGAATTCTGACGAAGAGGTCTTGAGCTTTCTGATTTGTGAATCCTGGTAACATGATTTGAGGAATTTACTGAGAGTTCATGATACGCTGATCACCACGGATACTTCCTAACTTGGCTCAGACATGGGTGCTAAATCTGACATGATGAAACTCCAGTCGGAGAACAACATGCAACCATCACGGGCTCACCGCCCTCGTCTTCATGACGCTAACTCATCTCGTCGTGTATTCCACTCCTCCTGCTCCTCCTCCTCCTCCATACACCTCCTCTTCCTCCCTATCCTCTTCCTCATTCTCCCCCTCCCTCCCCTTTGCCACGGTTCAGCCTTGCCTCACCCTCCCACCGGGCTGAGGGGGTCGGAGGTCACTGCCTCCACCATCCGCCTGACCTGGGAACGCGACACGAAATCCCTGGATAAACCACACTCCTACACGGTCTACTACCGTGCCCTCACTAGCGGCGCTGGAGGTCGCATGCAGGAAGTGTCCGGCATCACGCGACCGGTGGTCACCATCGGTCAGCTGAGGGCGTTCACCCGCTACTCCTTCCAGGTGGTGGCCTTCAACAAGATGGGCAGGAGCCGGCACAGTGACGCCATCGAGGTGGTCACCGGAGAGCTAGGTCAGTATGTCCCCACACCACATCACCACCACCACCCAGCTCAACAACATCACTGCCATCACCACATTACGCTTCCTGTCTCCCCCACCCCCCACCCCCACTAGCAGGCTTCTTCTACTGGTGCCTTAGGAGCACCATTCTGCACCGCTGCTGCTACAGCCCCCTCCCTCCCCCCACTCCCAACCAAACCCCCGTCTCAACTGCCACCCCGTCACCGTTGCTTTTAGTGCCTATCGCAAGTCCTGTTGTACTCTTTTACGTTGGGAGTCGTTTGGTGCCCCGTCGTGCATCACCTAAAAGTATAACCTAAGATATAACTTTGTATTCTTTTTAAAAATCCCACCCGCTCCCATCCTCTTTTCTCCAATTTCCCTTTCGCTGTCTTTAGTCTCCTCTATACACGTACTTGTTCGTATCGGTCCCAACGGCGCCTGTAGTGTAGAGATTAAGCGCTTCGCTGTCACACGCAGTAGATCCCAGTTCGAGTCTATTGTTGGGAGATTTTTAAAAACAACAAGTACCTCTCTGCCTTTCTGCTGGGACGTTGTATCCATCTCATCTCGTGTTGGCCCTCACAGGAAGGATAGGAACTCCGCGTCCTAACAGATCCAAATTTTGTCGATAGCGGTTTAAAATGCCTTTATTTAAAATGCGTATTAGATTAAAGTATCTGTCTCGTAATGTAAAATCAACACCTGATCGTGCTTCTCTAACATGTCTCGTAGGTTTGGATGTTTTTTGTTGCTAAAAAAGTGACGTTTGCTTGTATTCGTTTTTCTGTCGCATGGCCTGAACTGTGTGATGTCCGCCATAAAAGTTTTAAGCGCAGGGTGTTTTTTCGCAAGCGGCCAGGGTCAATGTGGCTTACTCATATTTAATTATTCTGTATTTTCAAAGCATGTTCAATTTTGTTCAACGTTCAACAATAGCGACATCTCTTCTCTCTCTCTCTCTCTCTCTCTCTCTCTCTCTCTCTCTCTCTCTCTCTCT